AAAAAATATTTTGCTTAGGTAAAAGAAGAAAATAGTTTCTTAGCTTTTTGGTTGAAAGTTTGCTTTTCTACAGTCTCAAAAATATTTGCAGTCTATTTTCACCGTTTAAAATATTTTTGGGTTAATTAAAACTTTCCTTGCAATAAAACACACAATAAATGTATCATTAAAAATCTTATTCTAAATAATAAAAAAAAGTATTCAGAATGATTGTAAATGCAGCCAGGATCTGCTAAATTAGTCCAAAAACCCCCCAAAACACTCCAAAACGTTATTAGTGGATTTTCACTAATAACTGGTGACTGACTGAAGCTGATGACAGATTCAGTACCTTAGACATTGTTTGGACCAATCATAACATCTCTCAAAACTACAGCAGAATATAACTTTAGCAAGTGTGAGGAAAATAAGGGTCTGCTTTTCTTATGGTTTTATCGCAAAATGACTGATCAACTAAATCAAAAGGTGATTTTGTAAAGTAGTAGTTTAAGAATGTATATTGGAAACCACATAATAAGTTCATTTAATTTTGAATATCTTATTTTAATTCCATCCATCCATCCATCCATCCGTACAGTCTGCTTTAAAACAGCATCTGAGAAACAAAAAAAATATGTTTCCAAACAAAGCTGTTCATATTTTTCTTTTAGGGATATTCTTTTGCTAAGTCTGGAGAACTACTAACCCGCCGTCTGAGGAAAGTGGGCTTTCAGGCCATGCTAAAACAAGAAGTTGGCTGGTTTGATGATCCAACAAACAGTCCTGGAGCCCTGACCACCAGGCTGGCCACAGATGCATCCATGGTTCAAGGGGTAAGTCTTTATTGTTGCTTTTCTTATTCATCTTGCTTATTGATCTGTTCTTCCGGAATGGTAATTATAAATGTGGCTGTAATGATTTCTGCAGGCAACAGGTTCTCAGATTGGTATGATTGTGAACTCACTGACCAACATTGGAGCTTCGTTCATCATTGCCTTCTACTTCAGCTGGAAGTTAACGTTGGTAATCTTGTGCTTCCTGCCTCTTATTGGGCTATCTGGTGTATTCCAAGCCAAAATGCTGACAGGCTTTGCAAACGAAGACAAAAAATCTATGGAAGCAGCAGGACGGGTGAGCTTGTTTTCCTAATCAGTGCTCCGTTTATCATCCAACTATCTTTTAGCAGTGATTTTGAGTGCTATGAATAATGTCTCTCCTCCAGGTGTCCAGTGAGGCTCTTGGCAACATCAGGACTGTTGCGGGTTTAGCCAAAGAGCGCTCATTTGTGGAAATATATGAACAAAAACTGGAGCTTCCATATAAATCTGCCAAGAAGAGAGCCAAGGTCTATGGGCTCTGTTTCGGTTTTGCCCAGTGTGTCATCTTCATGGCATATGCTGCTTCTTTTAGATATGGAGGCTACCTGGTGAGAGCCGAAGGGTTACCATACATGCTGGTGTTTAGGTGGGTTAAATGTACAGTTAAAACATTTTAAAAATGATTCAAACTCCACCTTACAGTATTGCTCAACTTTTGGATTCTGTCTCCAGGGTGATTTCAGCTGTGGTGATCAGTGGGACGGCACTGGGCAGAGCTTCCTCCTTCACTCCAGATTACGCCAAAGCCAAAATCGCTGCTGCCCAGTTCTTTAAACTGCTGGACAGGATTCCAAAAATCAGCATCAGTCATACAGATGGAGAGAAATGGGTCAGTTCATTTCCAATGCTTTTAGTTGTAATCTCTTTCAATCGAATGGTTAATTTGTATTTATTAACGTATTTTAGTGTGTATTTCATGGAACTGTGTTTACTCTCTATAGGAGATGTTCAAAGGAGAGATCCAGTTTTGTAATTGCAAGTTTACGTATCCGACTAGACCGGACATTCAAGTGCTGAGCGGCTTGGTTGTTTCTGTGAAGCCTGGTCAGACTTTGGCTTTTGTTGGGAGCAGCGGCTGTGGGAAAAGCACCAGCGTTCAATTACTGGAAAGGTTCTACGATCCAGATGAGGGACAAGTGGTGCGTGTTGTTCATTTTAGATGTAAACGGCACAGATTACAAACAACAAAATAAAACATTAAATTTGGTTAAATTGTTCCATGTTACTTTCAGCTGATTGATGGTCACCCGTCCCATAACGTCAACGTGCCTTTCCTGAGGTCACAGATTGGGATTGTATCACAGGAACCAGTTCTATTTGACTGCAGCATAGCGGAGAACATCCAGTATGGAGATAACACTCGGACCATTAGCATGGAGGAGGTTGTGGAGGCTGCCAAGAAGGCCCATCTTCATGACTTTGTTATGTCTCTACCAGATGTGAGTGAAAAAGCTTCATATTAATGGTGACCTTTTATATTACATCATATTATTATCATATTATCATGTTAACTTAGTGGCTGAATTAATCAAAAAATCAGACAGTGCTCTGGTTATGTTAATTTGAAATGATAAGTAGTGTAATCTGAAATTTAAGTTTGAAGCCAATCAAGAAGAGTATTTGTCTAACAGTCAGAAAGTTTTTATTTTAATACTGCAGTCAACCTTTTATCTGATTTAAATCCGAATAAGAGCTTCCTTTGTGAATGCAAAAATCTTCCTGGTTTTAGACTTGCAAGTTTTTAAGTGAATTTGATCAAGCAAAGATAATGTTTATGTGGTTAGCTTTATGTATAAAAATGTTTCACTGCAGAAGACGAACAGTAAGTCATAATACATACATTATTGATACAGTAATCGTTCTTTTGTTCATCTTTATAGAACTAAAGTTAATACACTACCTTTTATTGGTCTTTCACATTTAAGATAAATAAAATATATTAAAGTTTGAAACTGTTATACAACAAAATGCAAAATTGCGGCTTCATTTAGGGAAGGATAAATGCTAACCCTTTACTATTTTATTCTCCTTATAACTTGAACTGGTAGAAATATGACACTCAGGTGGGTGCCCAAGGCTCACAGCTGTCAAGGGGACAGAAGCAACGCATTGCCATCGCCAGAGCAATTGTCCGAAATCCTAAGATCTTGCTGCTAGATGAGGCTACTTCCGCTCTGGACACTGAAAGCGAACAGGTGAAACACAGTTTCAGCTTTGATCACATAAATAAAGAAGATGCATAGGAATAAATGCTTGCAGCAACATTCAGAAGAACATCCTTTTGACAGAGCTTTGTCTTTTCCCAGACTGTTCAGACTGCTCTGGATGAGGCAAGGAAAGGGCGAACCTGCATCGTCATCGCTCACCGGCTCTCCACCATCCAGACTGCAGACATTATAGCAGTAATGTCAGCGGGAGTAGTTATTGAACAAGGCACACATGATAAACTCATGGCCAAAAAGGGTGCTTATTATAAATTGGTCACAACAGGAGCTCCGATCAGCTAATCACATGCAGCAACAAACAGTATTAGAAACATTTGATTAAAAAATCTTGACATCACTGTGAATGCAGTGGTGCTGTGAGGACTGCATGGTAAAAAATATAAGCTAGGAATCTGATACAGAGTTTATTTATCTATTTGAAAAATATGTATTTCATATCTATATAGCAATAAAAAGATACACAATTACAGAAATAAACATAACTTGCATCAAAACAACATAGCTCTGACCAGTGTTTATGACTTGTTCCAACTAATTTCTGATATTATAGCATTATTTGTCTTTCTAAGAGAAAAACAAATAATGAGACGAGTTAACTTTTTCTAAGGGTGCTTTTTTTGTAAAAATGTTCTAACATTTGGAATAGTATGTTATTCCATTGGAAAAATGTCACATTACTTATGATAAAACACCTTAAGAATCTGTTGTTTAAATTGTTATGTGCATTATTGAAGCTATTGTTTAAGTATTTATTTGTCTAATGTATAAAAAGGATTAATGCACCATACCATATCTGGCCTTTTTTGTTGGTTTTACTGTATGTTGGTTTTTCTGGTTGTTATTGTTTTTTTGTTTGTTATTATTATTTTTTCTTCTTTTTGTTGTAATGATGTTTTCAACTTTTGTCATATTAAAATCAATTCTTAAGTAAGATAAAACAATATCCAATGTTGTTGTGGAGTGAAAATAAAAAGTAAAAATCTACAAGTTTTGCCTTTTTAATTTTTCCCCCCTTCTGATTTCTTCAGTAATACATACATTTTTGATATTTTAACCCCCCATTTTTTTCTTTTCAAATAATGCTCATATTACAGTGTTTCCTTTGTCATCCTTAATAATGGTTTAACTTTAGTCCTAGCTCAAATACAACCTAAGCTTAAAACAACCCTTCCAATTGCATAGAGTCCTATGCACTGCTGGCTTGGAGTCCTTGAGACAATGTGAGTTAACATATTTTTAAAAAGAAAAATAAACTCATTACACAGAGGAACACATTCAAGCTTTCAGTATAAATATTTGTTGCAAAGCTAGTTTTAAAATTACTTCAATTTTGACCCGAACAACATTTCCGATTGTGATTTTTTCAGCATTTTTTCTGAGCATGTTTTGTGATTGCAGCTCTAATCTTAGACCTTCTTGACAGCCTCCACCTCCTCATTTAAATGCAGAAAAATCAATTTTCATTCAAAGTATTCTAAACATAAAACCCTGGGTAACTTATATGATACTTTGGATAAACTGCATGTCTTTCTCATTGGTTGTCTATTTTTGCACTGTCAGTACCTGGGAGCATTAAGTTTTCTTTAAGTTTGTTTTGGCAAACTCTCACAGCAGTTACATCATTCAGCAGCTGGCCTCTGGTGCCTGGGATGCTAAGCAACAAGAGACAATGAGAAAAGATGAATTGGGGGCTCTGCTCAGGAGTTTAATTAATCCATCTAATCTTGTTACATCAGAGCCTGTCTTCTGCCTCATTATCTTTAGGATGATTGATATCTGAAAACCTGCTAAGAGACCCACAAGGGATTATGTAACGCACCCCAGCAGGATGTACACACAAACTTTTACAATGCTAACAGAGAAAATTATGTTAAGGATTCAGAATCAGAGTTTAATGAAGAGTAAATGTTTATTACCATGGTTCAAAGAGGTGACTTTATTGTTTATTACATTGTAAAATGGTATTTATAGTGTATTTTTACAGCGCAATAACAAAAAGAAGATGATCATCCATTTGCTGAAATGTTTGTCTTTTCAAAGTGTTTTTCAATATAACGAACTTACATTTTAATTGGTTGTTATTTGGGGGGTTAATAAATCATGTTTTAGAGTTGTGCAATAACCTTAATAAAATAATTGCAAATTCTAATAACCTTTAAAAAAGTAAATATTAGAATAAATACTAAGAAATACACTAAAATATACATCATCACTGGGATCAGAGGAGACAATGCATTAATTACACTGAGCAAGATACATTGGTTTTCCACATAGAATTGTATTTTCAGTGCTTATGTTTGTGCAATAACATTTTGACATAATTTCCAACAAATTGCAGCAAAAGGTGTTACAAAAGAAAACATGTTCATTACCTGAGTTTTCTCCCATCATCTCTGATTAATACATGAACACAGTAAGGTATGACTGCAATGACGCCAAAAGGAACTGAAGCGCTTTTGCAAAAGCACAGTATGTAAAACAGAAACTCGCTTTGAGTCGGCATCTTGATTAGATCATACAGCTGCAAAAAGGTAAGATTAGCTGTCATGCACATAAGTTTAAATATACTCTTACAGCTGTTCTTCCCTTTACAGCTCTGAATAAACATCTCTGAGTTCAATGCAAGTCCCAGACCGAATAAGGCACCCAGGTTCCTCCAAAGTCCGGCAAACGGCGTGGTGTCTAGGTGGATCCAGTCTGGATTTACGCACCAACTCTTGGCTTTTGTGACTGACCACAAAGGATCAAAGTCCAGAAGCTTTAGGAGTAAATAAAAGAACACAGCAAACGAGAGAAGAAAACCATTGACCTGGAGGTAAAGTTTAAGGGTAGCGTTATAGATCCAGGGGATATGGTCAAATGCCTCAGCAACAAGCATGCCTAAACATTGTAGAGATTAAAACAAAAAAATGTTGTCACAAGATAAAGCACTTAAAATATATGAGCAAATATGTGAAGCAGAACATACCAATGAGGAGACCAAGGAGAACCTGATGAGGGAAGTGTGTTGCAATGAAGACTCTGGAAATGCAAACATTAATTTGAACAAACCAGAAAGCCATCCACAAAATGGACCTCAAGAGATAAAACCTGCAACAGAAGAAAAAAATGCTTGTGATGAAAAACATGCTTTCATCTTTGTGAAAGCATCACGTAAACATCCACCTTTGAGAACTCCAGGCAGAGGAGGCGCAGGAGGATCTGGCGAAGTTTAGAGTAGAAGTGACCATCACATACCACACACATGATGAGCCCATGGCGTGACCAGATGGGCTACCTGAAAAAAAGAAAAAAAAAATCAATGAAAAAAAGGGTTTTTTTTGTTTTTTCTATCCATATAGGCTTAAATATTTACCAGGCCCCGTTTCACAGGTAATGTGAAACTGATCCAAATGAGGCTTTGAGCAATTCTGGAACAAGTGGGTTTCATGAACCCACCAATAAGGTCTCTGCCCATGCAGAATCCTGAGAAAAAACATGTTTGATTTGGATTTATAAGGTCAAAACTTAAAGATACAATACCATTATCCAAGCAGGCTTACCACTTGAAAATCAGATTGAACCAGTCCCCAACAACAGCCACCCATATCATCTTGGTACCAACATTATGACTCAGATGGAACCAAAGCGGGAAATAGACAGAGAAAATATTACGAGGATCACCCACTCTTGACATGAAGCTAAGGAAGCTGTCGTACTCTCTGTAGTTGTTCTGCAGATGCTGTATAGTTAGGACACCTGATGTGTGAATAAAATCCATTATGTTTCCTTTTTTTGAGAGCACCTGTTTTTTCCTCAGCACCAGACACAGTAGCACCCTGATTCCCTGCCTACCCAGCATCTCTTTTATATTCCATACCAGGCATCACAAACCATTCATCAAAGCCATGGAAAAAAACAAGTAAGTACAAGTTGTCGGAGCTCATGTGGCATACAATAATGTGTTCCTAAGCCATGAGATGTCAGCATTTTTAAGACATGTTCAAAAGACTGTTTACAACCTGACAGTGGAACCATTAGGAGATTTCCCAGAACATAGCCTGTACATATGTTAAATATTAGCCATGGCAAACACCAGAAGAGAGAGAGTGCTACCCATAACCTGATGCATCATTTCATGCTGATTAATAGTCATCTACAGCAAACATAGCAACAAAATGGGCTTCCCTTAAAAAAAACAGGGCCCATCTGGCATCCTCAGCTCAGGTCACTGGGTCTAAAGATTCTGAATGTGCTTCTTCACATCAGTGGTTCCTAAAATGTTATCTACCAACTCACAAATTAACAACGGGAGAGACTCCCACCTTCAACTATGTGTAGTATATAAAATATTTTGCTTTTTGAACTGGGGTTTAAAAGTCCTTTATTTATTCCAGTGATAGACTTCTATCTTACACTATTAGCCATGATAGAAATAATAAAAGCCATCTCTACTTATAAGGAGAGAGAAAAAAGTCCCAAAATCACCCCTCATCTTTTGAACCTAAAGCAACTTGGGTGATTGGCCTCTCCACTCATCCTCCTCACTGACAGACCTTGAAATCTGAAGTAAAATGCCATATTTACTTTCTCTTAAAAAATATTTTGGATGACACACTTCTAATATTGTGTTTGGTTCAGATATCGATTAACACAAGAAATATGAAAGTTGTAGGCGATAGCCAAGAAATTTATTTGCACTGCAACTTATCTACCTGTTTTTGCCAAATCAGTTGTCCAGAAAATTTTGACGCTGTCTACCACCATTCTTTAGGATTCATGAGAGGATACCCATCCCTCATACCTCACTGTTCTTTGTGTTCTGTTTGTGCTATTTTTTCATATGCCTTGATTGTTTACAAAATTATTGCAAAGAAAAGTTTATTCTGATTCTCTATTAATTTCTAACTTCTATAGAGGTTACATGTGTGGCATAACCTCCCTGTGGAGTGTTTAAAAGCTGCCAGGTTGTCACCATCCAGGGGCGTTGCTAGGCACAAAGCCCCTAGTGCATATGCCCCTCCTTCCATACATAAATACAGACAAGCACACTGCCCCACCCTAATACATTCCTACCTAAATTACCAGTTGAGATATTAATGAGTGTAAGAGCATATTTGTTTTAACAAACATGAACATTTTCAACATTGCAGCTATAAAAAATAAGACATCAACAACTTTGACAAATAAAAAGTTTCGTTATACACATTCTGAAGTAATCATTAATTCCTAGGTTTCAGAGTTTTAGTTCGGGGGAAATTTTAACTCATCCTGAGCTAAGTTTTCCTTTTATTTTTTTGAGCATTAAAGTGTACCTCCTATTTATCATTTTTGCAAAGCGGTCAATCACTAGACTGTGACTCAGCTTAGAAAGTTCTTCCTTTTCAACTGATAAAATAGCCAGATGATGGAGCCTGTCTTGTCCCATTGTGCACCTCAGCCAAGTGTGGATCCTTCTCAACACACTGAATGACCTTTCACAACTCCAGCTGTAGACTGGGATTGTGAGGGAGATCTGGATGACTTGCGTTAGTGTGGGGAACATGGTGTTATCAAGCAAGTTGAAAACAAACTGCATATCCTTGATGACAAGGCTTTCTTTTTCAACCAGGAAAAGCTTTCAAACCATTTTGAATTAAATGAAAGTTTTTTTTACTCCAAATTTGTGCTGGGGATAGTGGGACAACTTCACTTGTCTAGGACCATCATGCTTTCCCCCTAAGTCACTAATGTCCTCTTCTTGTTTGTGGACGCTGGTTGTTGCATCCTCATAACCTTCATGGTCCTGTCTCTCCTGTCTCTCTCCTGTCCCTCCTGTCTCTCTCCTGTCTCTCTCCTGTCTCTTGCCTGTCAGTCTCGCCTCCTCCTCCTCCCTTTCCTACTCCAGCACCTTCATTCTCATTCTCTACAGCAAACATTAAAAAAACTTAAATTTATAATTATGTAAATATCTATCATATTGCTAATAACGTTCCTAATGTAACTGGTTAGCTTAAATCACTAATTCATTACCGGACCTTACCTCCCTCTCTCTCATCTTGTTTTACTGCTTCCCTGTCTCTGCTTCGTGTGAGGAATTTCCTGATCTCCATCCAATGCAGTCATTTTCAGTTAGTAGCCTATAAATCATGTGGTTTCACTGGGAAAATAATCAAATTGACAGGTAAGAAACGTTACCAGAACTAAAAATGCGTCGCGGCCGCACAGTGTCCCATCCAACTCATTTGAGAGCAGCGCGTTAGTTTACCTGCAGTTCATGCAGTGACATGCGCTGACGTGGGGGCGCTAATACGTCCTCAATTTGGAGTAGAAATATACGTCTCCTCCCGTTGGAATTATCTAAATTGTTGCATTAAAAAAATGTAATACTGTTGCAAATATTCATGAGATTTATACTGGGGCACAGCTCATTTATACTGGGGCACGTGCCCCAGTAAATGGGGTCTGGCGACGCCGATGTCACCATCATGATAGATATTTCTGCATCAGATAATTTTTCTTGTTTGTGTGAACTTATTGAGGTTGTGTGGAGGCTTTGAGGACCCAAATGCAGATTTAATGAAAGTCCAAGGGGAACCGAGGCAAAAATCCAAAAATACTGAAAAACAAACAAAAACCAATAAACATCAGGGAAACACCTCGAAGGAAGCAAGAGACCAGAAAGCAATGAAACAACATTAACAACACAAGAAACAAGCACTGAGTGGAGTCTCTGCTGCTCTTTTAAGCCCAGCACTTTGATTAGAAACATTATCTCCACCTGTGTAGGTAACATAGGTTCTCCCCAACGATCCTCTCTGGAGGAGATGCAAAACTCGCACTCACTAACACACAGGAACCCTGACACTTATATTCTAATGCTCTGAAAGAATTACAGTCTGTTGTTAGATTTAGCAGGAGATCATATTTGAAATATATCTCTGTTTTTATTAATCTATACAATTTTTGAGGGTAACCTTTTTTTATTGAATTTATTTAAGTTCCTAATATTCACCACCAGGCGGAGTATGAGACCGTTATGACCTCAAAATGATGTTTAATAAGACACGATGAAAAAAATCATCTTAATATTCAATATCAGTTTCATGAACACAAACATGATTTATTTCATCACGTTGTGAAATTTAAGGTGCTTTTAACCTCAGTTAAACAACATTATATGGGGAAGTAAATTGAAAATACGTAATTTCCGGTATACAGTAACCGCCTTCTGTGCGTTTAGACCGCGGATTTCAAAGAAAACATTTAATGTCGTAGCGATAAATAAGTCATAGAGCCAGTTCTTTGTTACACATTCGAGAGGTGAGTAACATCTTCTTGTGCAGACGAACTAACGGTTTCAGCTTGAAAGAATGTTTTGGGTTTAAATCTCATAATAAATATGAGAAATTACTCCTTACAAGCTTATGACGTTATCCAGTTAGCATAAACATGCTAGCATTGTCTGCTAGCACCGTTACTGCTGTCAGAATTGTTGATAATAATTGTTGATAATGAAAGATCTGCACGGGAAAGAGTTAATGTAAGTATGTCCAAAAATCAAAGAGCTTTTTGTTTTATTGAACGTTAAACAGCTTTTTTTCCTTTGACAAGCTTTAATGTAAACATTAGACTAACCTGATGAGACAAACGAATGGATTTACGTAAAGTTGTGAAAAGGAGTTATTGCTGTGCAAAAATTCAACCCTATTTTTTTTTTTATAGCCTTTCAAGAAATCTGTTTATTATGTTGATTATACGCAAAACTATTTTATTGATACCCAAAGGGGAATGAATAAAGGGTTGTTGAAGGTGTTGGGAGGACTGATTTCCTGTAAGTAGATCTGATCAGTTCAAACTTTTTGAAACAATTTATCTAAAACATTTGCTGGTTTTACTTTCTCTCATATGTTGTTCAATCTTTTAGACTATGTTTTAACCATAGTAAAGGAAACAATGCTCAGTTAATGATTCAGTGGGCCTGGAAGTCCAATGTTAGCAGGACAGTGCTATAATGAAATTAATCGAACCATAGTATAAATTTATACTAACTTTATCCAGTAAGTGCATAATAATAACACCTCTTATTGCCATCTTAAACACAAAGTTTTATAGAACAATATGTTTCTAGTTAGTGCTATCTAAACAACAAAACAGCTGAGTTGTAATTTCTCTTTTTTGATCAGCTCAACACCTCTTTAACTTCTACAACATTTTTACACTTCATCAAATGAGGCCAAAAAATATATCACAGCTATTGATACATCCATCCATCCATCTTCTAACACACTTAATCCCAGTGGGGTCACGAGGGGTGCTGGTGCCTATCTCCAGCAGTCATTGGGTGAGAGGCGGGGTACACCCTGGACAGGTCACCAGTCCATCACAGGGCAACACAGATACAAACAGGGCAACCACTCATGCACACACTCCATATTACAGGTATTCATATTATCTAAATGATACTATTCTTCCAGATATGTGTATTGCATACAGTTTTATTTCAATAACATTACATTTTGATACATTGTGCAATCCTGACTAATACTTGCTAATCTGGTCTGCATAGATTCTCATAGTGTTTATTAATAATCAAAAAGCTGCCATTTGTTTTCTTGTTGAACTTACAGATTGTACCAGAATAACATGGCATCCATTACTGACCCAAATCTGGGTGAAAGGATCACAGCTGCAATGGAGGAGTTCCGCAATAAACAACTTAAACTATGTGCAGACATCACTGAAAAGAATGAAGAGCTGTGTCACAATAACAGACATCTTCTGAAGTCTGCACTTGGTAAGTTGTTTCATTTTTCATGAAGAGGAAAAAGAATCTTAACAGTTTAATTTATTTAGTAAAATATATCTCAGAAAATTGCGTGTCATTTATTATGCTCTGATATGAACAACTGAAACCAAGATTTAGCACGAGACTGCTAGCACCATGCATTACAAAGACCTATAAATGATAAACAAAATACATAAAAAATATCTATATGAATTTGAGTGCATTTACCATATTGATAGACAATATAGAACATTTTTAATCTCTAGTTAGCAAAGTAAATTAAATAACCTAGATTTGTAAAAAAAAAAAAAAAAAAGGAAATGTTATGTTGAGGAAGACTCCATATATAACTGATTATAAACATATAAAGATGTTTTTAAAAACAACTGGCTACTTCTAGAAAGATTTTGTAAAGTTTGTCATCTAATATTTGATGCCCACAGATAATAGGCACGATTTAATGCTTTATATGTTTTTGTGATTGCGATTTCATTTGATATAGATTTTTCTTATGGTGAATGATAACACATACAAACTCAGACTTTGTTTTGTTTCAGCATATAAGTTTTTCATATTGATATAATATTGCTTAATAGAGGTTTGTATTTGTAAATCCTGTAAAACAGAAGCCAATGCACATCTGATAGTTTCAGACACGGATCTATTTTTTCATTATTGTAAGTACTTGCTTCAATAAATAAATTGGTTTATTGTTATATTTGTTTTAGTAGTTTCAGACCACACTGAAAATAAAGGTATTGTATATATATTTTTACCCCAAGCAAATAATTTTGTCTTGCTTTAGTCAGCTTGTGTTATAGAAACAGTTACCAGAATAGCGACAATTGTCAGTTTCAGATCATAGAAGAAGACACTGCTCAAAAAAATGAAGGGAACATTCAAATAACACATCCTAGATCAGAATGAGTGACATTTCATTGCATACTTCTTCTATACAAAGTTGCTCCAGCATATGTTCTTACAAGGGGTTTGAGGATCTCATCTCGGTACCTAATGGCAGTCATGCACCTCTGGTGAGCACATGGAGGGCTGTGCCGCCCTCAAAAGAAATGCCACCCCATACCATTAATGACCCACTGCCAAACCGGTCACTCTTAAGAATGTTGCAGGCAACGGGTCGCTCTCCACGGTGTCTCCAGACTCAAAGTCTGTCAAACTGCTCACAGAGCCACATTGGACCAAAAAATAAATAAATAAATAAATCTGTCCGGCGCCGCAACAATCTAAAAGTCTTTTATATGCCTCTTATAGCAACACAGGCTCTAAGTGTATTATCCCACTATAGAAAAGGACTATGTGGGGGTAAATATGTAATAAGCATTCATGATTAAATGTTTATCCTGGAACAAATGTCACATAGCAGCATGAGGTGATGGACAAGCAGTGAACGCTCCCATCGCGTGCCGCTTCACAGCATGGTTTAAGTTTTGTTGCATTGATGAAATTGTAGATCCACAATAAAGGAATCTTTCTATGGTGGACGTGTTTCTGTTGGAAGGAGTTGATTGAGTCATGAGGAACCAAGCAGAAACCGACACCCATCAGAGCAGAGCTCTCTAACCCTGAAATCCCAAATCCTCCGTCACCAGCATTCCTTGGGGTGATTTATATTTTTAGGATTTGGGGAAAAAATGGAAGAAAGTTCACATACGCCAGATTGCTACCTGTTTGATCTGTAGATGGTTTTCCATTCTTGCAACAAAACTAGCAGCAGTAGTGGAGTTTGGAGATGAAATGCACTTCTTAAATCTATCTTTGCTCTCTAATTTATCCAGAAGTTCTGCAAATGCATTTTTTCTCTACCTCCCAACTTGGTGGTCAGCTGCACATTTAGCATGCTTTCCCTGGAAATGCCTTTCCAAATTTTTATTTTTATTTTTTTGACAACCTCTCATTACAAAACAAAAATGCAGGCAATCTTTCCGCATTGATAATGAAAGCAAATGTTTCGGTCCATTCTTTGAATCCTCTCTTCTCATCAGCTATCTTCCTCTTTTCCCTTTGGGATCCATGGTCCGAGACACACTCACCGCTTTGTTTGCCTGGTACCGCGTCACGCTGGTTGCAAGTTGTAACCACTGATCTAGATGCAAAGTATTGTTTAAATTTATTTATTATACAAATGTTTACAGCATTGGAAAACATACTTAAGTGTTGTTTGACCTCCTGCAAACAAAAGGAAAAAAAAAAAAAAAGGAAAATCGATTTTCATAAATTTTTGAAAAAGCTCCAGGGGGACGCTGAAGAGCCGCGGGTTGCCGACCCCGGCTTAGGGAGAATCTGCTTTCATCTGTGAAGAGCACATGGCACCAGTGGCAAATTGACCAATCCTGGTGTTCTCTGGCAAATACCAAGCATCCTGCACGGTGTATGACTGTGACCACAACCCCCATCTTGGACGTCAGGCCCTCATATCATCCTAAAAGAGTCAGTTTCTGACCGTTTGTGCAGACACATGCACATTTGTGGCCTGCTGGAGTTACTTTTGCAAGGCTCTGGCAGGGCTCCTCCTGTTCTTCCTTGCACTTGGCTGTTTCCTGGTAACACCTCCAAACTCTGGAACACACATCAAACCTTCTTGCCACAGCTTGTGTTGATGTGCCATCCTGGATGAGCTGGTCTACCTGAGCCACTTGTGTGGGATGTAGAGTCAGTCTCATGCTGCTACGACTGTGAAAGCACCACCAGCATTCAAAAGTGACCAAATTATGAGCCAGACTGCATAGATGCTGAGAAGTGGTCCCTGTTCCCCACCAGCAGAATCACTCCTTTATTGAGTGGGTCTTGCCTATTGACAGTAATTTCCACCAGTTGTCTATTCTATTTGCGCAACAGCATGTGAAATTGGTTGTCAATCAGTGCTTCTTCCTAAGTGGGCAGTTGGGTTTCACCGAAGGTTAATTGTTTTAAGTTATATTGTGTTGCTTATATGCTCCCTTCATTTTTTGAGCGGTGTACATGGGCTGCCTCTCACTTGTTAGAGCTGCCTGTTTTATTGCTGCATCATAATGTAAAAGTATAGATTTGTAAACTTTGTAAATCCTGTTACAACTACCAAATGTTGATTGGTTAAAAATCTGACATTTGATAGGCTACGGAAGCTGTTTGCATCTTTTGTAATAATTAAAAAAAACTTTGCTTCTCTAAGAGCTCCCTGTTGCCAAATTCTTTTTGCCACCAGTTATTAATGTCATTGTTATGTCAATAATCACATGTATGAAATTGTTGTACCAGTGTGATAGAATGTGTTTTTGTGTGAACTAGTGCCTTGCTGACTTTCTTTTAAACTGGGCAAATCATACCCTACTTCGTTAACTGAAATAAATCTTAATTTTTGTGTTTATTTAATAATATTTCTATGTGTTTTGGGCCACAGATACATGTTTGAAGAAATGTGAAGAAGATGAGAAGCTATTTGAGATGATAAATGAATTTAAAATGGGTAAGTTTGTCTTCTAGTTTGCTGCCATTGGTGCCTTAGACTTGTTTTAATAAATGTATCTGACATCATAAGCGTTCACTGCTGATCTCTTGTTTTAAGACAAGGAGACTATATTTAAAGTACATCCACAAAACATTTAGTATGCTGGCTTTTTATTGTTATAACATGTTGTCTCTGCAGACCTGGAGAAAAAGAAAATGGTACTGAAGGAGAAACGGCACGCCATATCGGAGACAATATCTGAGGTTCAGGAGAAGGAGATGCAGAAAGAAGACCTCATCCTTAAAATTCAGAAACTTAAAGAAGAACAAATAAAGAGAAAAGAGGGTAAGATATCTATCTAGAGATTTAACCCTAAGAACGATGTATCACAGAGGTTTTAATGGGCCCTACAGTCTGACTGTTTTTTTTTTTTTTTAGTGATCGACTCACAGAATAGAGCAAACAAAGACAAGCTGAAAAATCTCCAGAAAGCCAGACTTGTTTTCCAGAATCATTTGGGGCTGGAGATTCGAACAATTATGGACAAGTCACAGTCAGTCAGAGGTAAGTAAAGCAGACCGTAGACAGGCAATCAGCTGTTAGGAGAGAGAAAATCGCCTTACATGTTGCCAGAGCAATAAAAGCAGTTTGTCAAAAACATTAAAACGTCTTTGTAAGAAATATAAAAGCGTAGCTTAAGTACTTTTTAGATGATGGTCTAATTATTTTATTTTAAGAAGCTAAAATTTTTTAATTACCCGACAGCGGGCCGCTGTGATAACAAATCCCATAATGCTTTGCAAGAAGAGCTCTCGCAGAAAGCAGTCTGGGAAATGTCTCCCTCTTCTGAGGCCTTTCGTCACTTACACTTCGTAGACACTTTTTCTTATATGACCCTCAGCCATTTTCAAAGAACCACAGTGAGAAAGGCTAGCTTCAATGACTGGCTGAAACTGAAGCTCACCACACATATACGCCTGAAAGTGCGCACGCCCAGAAATACAATAGCTAACGGGACGAGGATGTAGGACGGCCTTAAGTAAACATATCACCAGAATGATTGACATATAAACTGATGCCTTGGGTCAAGCCTGGGTGCTGGATGTCATTGGTAGTGGTAAGGAGTCCAGTCCTTTAGTTTAAAAAGGAAGGTGGTATGCTTATTATATTGGTATCCAAATTTTTTACTTTTTAAACAAAATGTAAAGACATGATCAAAGTCTTGGTTGCTTTTTTAACACACAAAACAAAACTTAAATCTAAATAAAACTATTATTAGTTGATTTTCATACACAGACTTAGATGATTTAGATATTTCGTCAAATTTTTATTATTTTTTTTGCCTTACTGGTGCTGGACTCCTGACTAACTCACACTGAAGATGCTGCATCGAACAGCTTTTTCTAGGCTTTTAGCTAGGAATATCTCGTAGGGTGTAAACCTTGGTGTATCACATCTTTAGGCTTTGTGCAGTATAGGGAAATTTAGACTCATGGAAACGCTGTTTCCTGCATTTTGAGGTGGAATGCAGCTAACTTTTTGTCTTTGTTACAGCCCTACTTTTGTCCTGATTATGGGAAGTATATGTGCAAATTCATAAAGAAGACGAGATTTTTTTAGGTACAATATAATGTTTTATAGTTTAATTTAAAGAAAGTGTAATGCAACGTTCACACAGCGATTTGAGCAGCAAAAAAAGCGACTGCTGCTTAATTTTTGCTTCTGAAGAGTATCCAGTAAAGTGTACAGATATGTCTGATGCTTCTGCTGCTCCTGTGTTCAATCGCAGGTGCGGCTTTGCTATATGATCGGTGGGAAAAAAGTAGTTTTAATATGTCTCCCAGATCAGTTTCTCTGATTGGTTGATGTGGTGCGTCGAGCAGCCAAAGTGCAATTTCTCCAGCATCTGCTGCTTGAGAAATTTTGAACATTTGAGGGAAGTTTTTTGTAAAGGCAATACAATGCTTGACCGTACGCATTACTAGCTAAGAGTCTGGCTGTTAGATCCTTCATAAAGTGGCTCCATACCTGAATGTTCTCCTCTGACTGAGAAATGAATATATATATACATTTAGTTTTTTTCAACTTCAGCCTTTTCTTTTATTGTCATTACACTGTCGCACGTACAAAGCAACGAAATTAACTCTCTGCATTTAACCCTCCCCTTGGGGAGCAGTGTGCGGCCATTGTGGGGCGTCCAAGGAGCAGTGTGGGGTTAAGGGTCTCAGGGAGCCAGAGTGGCTCAGAATTACTGGATTCCAAGTGCAATGCCCTAACCACTAGGCCACACTCATTATAATTATATACACTTCCCTATTTAGTTTATCCATTTATTCCTTTGTAAAGCCAACCTTTATTAAAAAATGGTTGTGAAATAAATGTTACAAAAATTCTTTTTTTTTCCTAATAGGTGAAAAGTTGCAGTTTATTTTCCGAAACATCAGTCTGTCTGATCCAGACAACGCTTATGTCATTACAATGGGGATGAAAGAAAACAGAACATACCAGAGTAAGTCACACACAGGTTATAATTTTATATTTTTGCTATCTTAAAAAAAAAATCCACACAGTTTATTATTCTAAATAAGCTAATAAAATGTTACTTAATTATTACAGTTGTGTCCAGCGACCCTGTGCTCGAGAACTTGCCAGTCTTGGAAAGCCGACTCCAGGAGACCAATAATCTGGCAGCGTTTCTGGCCAACGTTAGAAAGGAGTTCATCTCTAAGGCTCGCACCTGAGGTCGGATGGTTGCTCTACAACAGGCTGACCAGGTTTCACTGCAATGCAGACTGAAGAAAAGAATGATAAATAGCAGCTGAGAGTGCTGTTTTACTTTTTTAAAAACAAGTTGTGTCTCGCTGATAAGAACTTGGTGATTTTATGCTATAACACAACTTTACACACGTAGGAATTTCACAATCTCGACATTTGATGAGCCAAATGTCATGATTTGACACATGTAACCAAACCTTTTATCTGTAAACAATTTTCATTTATTAGTTTTTAAAATAGTTTTTCTTGCCCCACCCCCAACCATTTATATTCATTTTTTTGTACATCGATGTAATAAACTTTATGCTCTTTAAGATTTTTCACCATTTGAGTTTCTCTGTACATGATGTATTATAAAAACATTTACTGAAAATAAGTCTGAACAGCCTTAATCCTAAATGTTGCATGTAACGCAGTAAAAAAAAAAATCAAGATTATTGGTAGAAGAGCACAACTTGGATGTGAAAAGACAACTTTACATATAAAAACTTAAAATATTATAGTGTTTTTATCTCTTCAGGCGTCTGATGACTGGATGGTGTTCAGTGTAGGTAGCTCCTCAACATAGGTTGATGGGAAGTGGCCTTTTTTCCCATTAATAGCACCAACCCACCAACCATTTTCTTCCTTCTTATAAATGTCCAGAACATCACCTGAGAAAGAAATTGTTTTCCAGTAAAGGTTTCAATCATTATTTAGGGCTCTTTGCTTTAAGGGTACAGCTTACCTTCTTTAAAAGGTAGTTCATCATCATGTTGAGGTGTGAAACTGTACAGAGCTTTGCATTTCCCAATACTGCATGACATCTCTGCTGTTTCATCTGTTCAATATACATTTATTGCATTTAACTCCATAATCAGAAGTGATAAGGTGGTAAACTATTCCCAGATGTACTGAATTATTTACCTTCTTTTTTATCATCTCTAGCAGGCAGGGCTTCGTTAGCAGCGCTGTCACTGGCCTCCACTGTCTCCTGAGTTGGTGTTGTGGAAGTAATGGGGTCGGTAGCATTTGGTGTGGGCTCGACCGTTGGTTCTGTTGGCGTCTGAACCGGTCCTTTGTAAATCACAGAAGCTCTCAGTGATTGCCGGTTTCTCAGTGGCGTCCTCCGGAGTTTCACTGGACGAGTCAGCTGAACGATGCTATGCTCAGACTCCTTATAGGAAAAAAAAAAAAAGGGGAGGATTATCAACCATTACTTGAAAGATATTTGAAATAAGAATAATAACCCTGCAAGTGAAGTCAGAGATAAAGTGGATAATTCAAATATTAATGTACAAATCCCCTACATTTATTAAGTTTTTTTTTTTAATATATATACTTTTTTGTCCTTTAGAAAATGGAGAGAGTGAAAAAACTGCATTTTATTTTTATGTGATCCACAAGTAAGAAAGTAATGACAGCAGGGAGTCAACAAATACCACTGGTTTAAAAAAAATAAATCTAAATAAATTGAACTTTATTGATCCTACAATGGAGAAATTAACTCTGCATATAACCCATCCCCTTTGGGGAGCAGTGAGCTGCCACTGTGCAGCGCCCATGGAGCACTCTGAGGTTAAGGGTCTTGCTCAGAGTCTGTGGGAATGGGTTTCAAACTCATAACTTCATAATTCCAAGCCCTATACCCTCACCACCTGGCCGCCACTCCCCATTTAACTGAATCAATGAAAACACTTTTTTTTAAATATATAAATAATGTCCTTTCTTACTCAGAAAGTGTTGCTTTTGTCATCCCAGATACTAAATCCACAACATTAGGGCTTATTAAATGTTTTCCATTTATAGCAAATATCTTTTTTCTAGATATTAAACCAGATTGAACCACCAACCAATATAATTTTTTTAATGTACAACAGATATGGGCACAAATAGTTTCACTTCCTTTGAAGGTTTTTCAATATTCAGGCAATTCATACGGTTTGCATTCATATCTCTGACCTTCCATGCAAGGCTGCTATATATTTGCAATTCTGGTCAACATTACCTTATCTTTCCATTTGAAAATACTGCCACTAAATCGTGAAAATGTCTTGGGTTTTTCTTCAGACTCAGAGAGGGATAAGGAGAGTTTGTAATGAGTGGCTTCCAAGAGGTCCAGCTTGAGAGTACTCTGTAGGTAACCAATAATATTAGTGTTCAGTCAATTGCTTCCCCTCCATAAAGCAAACTGCCTTGGGAGGGCTTTGCACACACTCTACCTCATTTACCTCATCATGTTGCTCTTCGGTTTCCTCAAGGTTCTTCTGGTTTGAAAAGGATGGATTTTCACCATATGTCTTCATCAGTTTTTCTATTCCTGTACCAGTACTCAGACATTAGAATGAAGACATGCGCCCTCGAGTGTGTGCTCTATATATTTAGTAATAAATTGAACTTACCTTCACAATCTTTTTTTGTTTTTGCAATGCTTTCTTCTAGACGCTTAAGTTTCAGCTTGATCGCATCTCTTCTTCTCTCTTTAGTCATTCGTGAATTGGTATCCTCCTCCTGAATGAACGAGTAAACCAATTTGAGTTTAAATCAATTCATGCCATGACCCTAGTTACAAATCAACATGTGCTTATTAATGTTTGGTATTCAGTAATTTGCTGTGAGAAATATCTATAACAGGGGAAAACCTTGAACAATACCTAATCTTCTAAGGAGAACCCGGTTTACCAGAATTACTCCAAGAGAAAAATCATTAATAATTATTTAGGCCAATAAAAAACCCAACTTCTCATTCCTAGAATTACAAGCCTCACTTGTCCCAGTTAAATTCAGCTCTGATCATTTAATTGTCAGGAGACTAAGGAATATAGTCTGGGAGCTTTAAAAGAACAAAAGAGTGTCTCTCATTTACCAAAAAACATCTTGATGAGCCACAAGACTTCTTAGAAAAATGCTCAGCGGACTGATGACAGTAATTAGAAACTGATCGAGAGGCAAACATTTTAGAACTATATAATTTAACCGTAAGCTGGTATAGTTGTGGTCTTAGGTTGCTCTGTTTCTTCAGCGCCTGGACAACTTGCCTTAATTAAGGGGATTATGAATTATTCTCCTTATCAGATAATAAAGATGGAGAATTCTTGACTGCCAATAGGCAACCTTAACCTAAAGCAAAGAACCAAACAAAAGACTTACAAAATAATCGGCCATCAAAAACTCTATTTTGTTGTCCTCATCTATGTTGCAACTTTCATCTATCAGGGTTTGCATGTCTTTGTCCATGTCCACCCTTTTGACGGTCTGCTCTATCAGCTTTTGGCCCTGAAGGCAGCAGAGAAAGCAGAGGTTAAGAGTTGGTGTTTCAAAGAGTCATCTGTTGGGTAAAAAGGATAGGCTTCTTACATGTTTAAGGGTTTGACTGAAAGTTGACATGTGGAGGTTATATCTGCTCAAAAGTTTGCACAGAACCTCAATTCGATGCTTCTCCAGCTCCTGTGTGATCTGAGAAAGCAGAACAAAATCCCGACATTAGAATTGCTAAATGTTAATGAATTCCTGCTGTTTTTAAACTCCTTTGAACGGTTTTAGGAATATTTCAGTATATATATGTTAGTCGTCGGTTGAGAATCCCAGCATGTTAGTTCATTCCTTCAACTACAATGGTAAAGGTCCACACCCAGGCAGGTATTACTACAACAACTGACTGAACCTGAGAATGTTTCAGCTAAAATTTCTTGATAATCCCACAGCATCACAAATTTCCAGTTTTAACATTTTTACTAATTATTTTGGGAACTTAATTAAAATAAGTTATGTATGAGTTACTGAATTGAATTGAATTATTGATAGTGATTCCAAACCTATTGATGCTTTACAGGGATATACAACAATAGGTTTGCAAAGCACCACTAAGAGCTAGCTGTGAGTTCCCTCTGCATGGTTATTCCTTGCTTCATGCAGTTACAGTTCGATAAAGTTTAAACATTTAAGAGCTGTGTTTGCACATCTAATGAATTATGTAATTACTTTCTGTCTGATTTGGATTATTTTGCAAAAAATACTGATAAATAGCTGATGAAGATTCTCAGTCATCCAGGTCATAGTAGTTCTGTAAAAGTTTAGAAAAAACGATCCACTGGACTTGGTTTCCAAGGTTTACCTTGGAAACCAAGTCCAGTGGATCGTTTTTTCTAAACTTTTACAGAATACTGATAAATAGATACATGTGAAAAAACTGATGGGTGCTTTCTTCACCTGGTAGCAGTTTTTCAGTGTGTTTTGCCATTTCAGCCTCATCTGATGACCTTCCATGTTGACACTATAGTAATGTTCATCCACTTGGGACTGCTGCTCTGCTGACTTAGTGAGCCTGTTAAACATCTGGAGGGGAAAAAAACAAAACAATAACACACTTTTCAAAAGTGATTTGATATAAAATGTTAGGAGGGATAAAAGCAGTCATCTATACCTTTTGTTTTTCTTTTTCAGTGCTGATGTGCTTGTTGTTTTCCAGATAGTTGAAGAGTGCCTCATGTTCTCTTGTTAGCCCATGCAATCTCTTTTTCAGCTGTTTTAAAGCAAAGAAAACCAGAAGACATCTGGCTGTTAGTGAACACTATAGATCAGATGTTTCCTTGTTAGGACTGGGGATTTGAGTTAGTAAATAAGAGTGATACAAGTTGAGTATTTATCTTAAAGTAACTGTTTGCTGCTTTAAAGAGAGAATGGCACCAAAAAAAGACCGAAAGGGAGGAACAAAATCGCTTTCACTCTTCACTAAAGTGCAATAACTTGTTGTTAGCAAATTAGATTTCATTTAAATAGTAGAGTAGGGCAGTTTGTTCATATAGCAATCTAAACAGTTTGGTTTAAAATGTAAGAAAAAGAACAATATAGAGAATTGATATTGTCATAACCCCACTTGAGGTTCTTGATCAACCTGTAGGATGTCTGAAGATGGACAGCAAAATTAAACTAAACAACAAACATTTAAGTTTAAAGGTATAGTGGAAATTTAAATTTTTTCAGGTTAGATCATCAAAATAAGTGGTCCTCCTAATTGTCAATTATTCTTGTGATATGTTTACATAAGGCCGTCCTACGTGCTCGTCCCCATTTTCACATACAGGTGGTAAGTCTGACATAGTGGAAAAAATTGCAAATATTTTTTTGGAAAGTAAGCTTGTATGAGCGATGCAAACAGCAACTTTTAAACAGAGTGTGCACGAGGAGAAACTGGCTGGTGCATGGGTTGTGCATGTGTATTTTTCATTTTTTTTTTAAGTGGAGAAGGTGGGTCTTGTCAAAAATTTGCGAAAATCCTCACCTATACCTTTAAATGCTTAAATAAAGCATCCCTTAAAATGGACAAAACCAACTG